CCCCAAAACCCCAAAACCCCAAAACCCCAAAACCCCAAAACCCCTTCACCTTAGAAAATATTTAAAATATTAATTTGATTGGTAAAATGATTGTATCAGACGCAGACATAGCTCAGAACTCTACAGTTGAAGAGGAGCCAAAGCTTAACTTTTACCCAAACAGGCTAGGAGCGATATACCCGAGCAAAGGTTGCTATATTGATCATGACACCCTTGAGGATAACATGTTCGTAGATATAGAGTTCTCCCACCTATCTAAGGAAGAAACTACTCAGATGGTTCAGGGCGAGTTTGATAAGTTTGTCTCTCAGTTGAAAAAGAATGGAATCCAAATAGAAATGTTCGAACAAGAAACAGATGCTCCAGATTCTGTCTGTACAGATTGGTTCATGACCGTTAGAAACGAGCTCTTCCCTAAAGGGGTACTTATTCTTGGGGCTATGAAGAACAAACAGAGACGAAGAGAGAGGTCACAAAAATTAATAGATACTCTTGAAGGGTACTATGAACATATTATTGACTTGAAATTTTATGAAGAGCAAAATCTTGCCCTAGAACTGCAAGGATCGTTAGTGTGAGACTGGAAGAACGCAAAGATTTACTGCTCACTATCAACCAGGTCAGATATTGCTCCTTTTGAATACTTAATAGAGGAATTAAACAAGATCTCCCAGTTGAATACAGGAAAAGAGATCAAAGGAATCTCCTTTACTAGTCATGATTGGGATGACAACCAGATTTACCACACTGATATTATGCTTGCCATACTTGATAAGCATATCTTGATTTGAAGTGATATGATTAAGGATGAAGATAAGAGACAAGTAATCCTTGAAGAGCTCTCCAGTCCTGAGCTTAATGACAATCCACGTGAAATAATCACCATTTCAGAAGAAGAGTGTCTTAATATGTGAGCGAATGTCATTTTTTGCAAGGACAAGAATGATAACAGCTGAGTTATCATGAGTGAGAGAGCTATGATAAATTATCATAGAGAAAATAGGAGGGAGATCAAAAGAAACTATAAAGTAATCAAAGCCGATTTGAGAGTGTTGGAAAAAATCTCAGGAGCCTCTGCCAAATCTCTCCTTGCTGCCATTAACTAATTTTGTGAGAAAATAGTTTTACATGAATCATATAAAAAGATATTTTTGCCATGAATTTCTTTTCAAAGTCTTCCAAACGTTTATGTAAATGTGGGAAACAAAACTTTAGGTTATCAAATTTTTGCATTAAAATTGCATTCACATTTTAGTAAATCCATACTACTAAAAGTGAGTCAGCAGTGATTAAACATTTATAATAAATTGAAATCTTTACCATCCTACCTTTATTTTATTTTTAAGCTATTTTTTTCGATTCTTGTTAAGATAAGACCATATTTGAGTTGATTATGTTCATCTTATCATATTCAGATAATTTTGCAACCAACACCTATGTCAAATACTAATATCAGGTTTCAATCACCTAAATTTCATATGGGGTTTTGGGGTTTTGGGGTTTTGGGGTTTTGGGGTTTTGGGG